GCCCAAGGTGGGATCTGTATCTTGCAGGGGTGGAAATGCTGTCTCAGTGGAGTCCTGGGGTACAGTGACACTCTCTTCAGCCTGCTGGGGCCCTGGTGTGGTTGCAGCCACAGGCTCTAGGCCCGAGGTGGGACCTGCATCTTGCAGGGGTGGAAGTTCTGTCTCAGAGGAGTCCTGGGGTATGGTGACACACTCTTCAGTCTGTTGGGGCTCTGTTATGGCCCCAGCCACAGATTCCAGGCCTGAGGTGGCATCTGCATCTTGCCCAGGTGGAAGTTCTGTCTCAGTGTAGTTCTGGGGTACGGTGACACACTCTTCAGCCTGTTGGGGCTCTATTATGGCCCCAGCCACAGATTCCAGGCCTAAGGTGGTATCTGCATGTTGCAGGGGTGGAAGTTCTGTTTCAGGGGAGTCCTGGGGTATAGTGATACTCTCTTCAGCCTGCTGAGGCCCTGGTGTGGCTGCCTCTATAGGCTCTAGGCCCAAGGTAGGATCTGCATCTTGCAGTGGTGGAAGTTCTGTCTCAGGGGGGTCCTGGGGTATGGTGACCCTCCCTTCAGCCTGCTGGGGCTCTGTTATGGCCCCAGTCACGGTCTCTAAGCCCCATGTGGAATCTGCATCTTGCAGGGGTGGAAGCATTTGGGGTACGGTGACAATCTCTTCAGGCTGCTGGGGCTCTGGTGTGGCCCCAGCCATAGGCTCTAGGCCTGAGGTGGGATCTGCTTCCTGAAGGGGTGAAAGTGCTGCCTCAGGAGAGTCCTCGAGTAGAATGACACCCCCTTCAGCCTGCTGGAGCCCCTGTGTGGCTGCAACTACAGTCTCCAGGCCTGAGGGGAGACCTCGGTCCTCTTCCTTTGAGTTCTCAGGAGGCTCTGTGTACAAGGTGGGACTTGCTGCTTCTTGAAGAACTGGTTGTGGTTCTACAATGATGGGCTCCTGACCTAAGGTAGCACTCATCACCTCCTTGGAAAGCTGAGGCAGTGCCCTGGTGGCAGGTGCTTGTCCAGTGGTAGAGTCAGCTTCTTCTTCACCAACCTGAGGGGGCACCCTGGAAGCCGCCTCCATCTGAAGGCCTAGGGCTGCTTGCAGAGCATGAGGGGTCACAGTAGTTTCAGACTCTTGGCTTAAAGCAAGGCCTTCTTCCATTTCTGAAGTTGATTCCTGGCTGTGGGCGAGGTGAGCCTCTCCCTCTGAGACCTGAGGGTTGGTTACTGTTCTGATGGCCTCTGGGCTCCAGAAAGCAGTCCCCCTTCTATGCTCCTGCTCTGTCTTCTGGGCACTGTCCTGCAGCAGGGCACTGGGCTGGGCATGGGGTTCCCCACTATACAGCCTGTCATCATCTGCCCCTGCATAGGAGGCTGAGTCCGAGTCAGAGGAGGCCGCAGAGGTGTCATCCCGGAAGGCAAAGGCCTCATCCATGCCCTCAATGATGGACAGGTCAGATAGTGACTGCAGGAAGGAGGCAGATGTGCTATCCTCCTCACCCTCTCCGGCCAGGTCCCCATCTGGAGCAGGAACATTAGCTGCCACCTCCTCCTCTTCTGGGGGCAGTGGTGTCACCTCCACTGCCTCCACCTGGAAGATGAGGCTGCCCTGGAAGGGCAGGAGGGCTGCAGGGATCATTGGGTCATTGGCTAGGAAGTCCAGGTCGAAGAAGTGGCCCTCCTGGTCCCAGGAAGAGCTACTGTCTGCTGAAAGACTAGACTCAGAAGATAGGGATTCGGGAGGCACAGTGGGATGGGGCTCTTGTTCATCTGCTACAGACCCCTGTGGGGAGAGGCCCCAGTCTGAGGGGAAGTCCAGCCCTTCAGCTGGGGCCAGCAGGCTGAGGGAACAGGATGGTGATGAGGTCCAGCTGTCCCCATCTGCCGTGATGTATGAGCCTGAGGGCGAGGCAGGTGGAGAGTCCAACAGCTCATCCTCTGGGTCCCAGGTGTCCCTATGGGGCCCATGGCTGGGAAGCAGGATGTAGGTTGTCTTGGTGGGAGTGGAGGGAGGGGTGAAGTAGGAATCAGGGTCTGGGGGAGGGGAAGGCACAGGAGGATCACCCTGAGAATACAGCTCGGAAGGTGGGTACAGGTCGGTGAGCCCACCCTCCTGATCCCTGAGCACTGGTAGGCCTGCCCTGGGTGACTGGGGTGCCTGGCATGTCTCCTCGCCCATCACAATCCGGGGCTCCAGGGTGGCAGGGAGAGGGCCCTTAGTGAGCAGAGCCTCAGGGGGCTGACCCTCATCAGGCAAAGCCTGTGGGAGGGGGCCCTCGGAGAGGAGTGTTGGGTTTGGGCTGCCTTCCGCTGGGTCTGCCCAGGCTGAAGGGGCCCCACCAGGCACTGCATCCCAGCTGGCTCCCTCAGGCTGGGGCCGGGCACCTGGCTTGCTGGGCAGGAACGTGAGGGTCAGGGAGCTGGGCTCTGGGATCAGGGCATGGGGCTCCCGCCGGTCCTCTCTCAGGATGGTGGCAGCAGCTGCATCACAGGAGAGCTCTGTGGAGACAGAGAAGAACGTGAAGCACCCAGACACATCTCCAGACCAAGTGAGGTGAAGAGCTGAGCATGGGACGGGAAACAGATGTCCATTGAAAGAGGCCCAGTGGAGAGCTGGTTGGGGAAGACAGGAGGGAGAAGAGAATGGTGGTGTGGGTTGCATTTAAGGGAAAATTTCCAGGGGTTTTGACAGAGAACAGAACTGCTGACAGTAGCTTTGCAGAATGGGGGCTTGCAGGCAGTGTTGCTGTGTGTGTTATAAACTCATGATTTTCTTGGGGACACTTTAGCAAAGATGCAACTAGCATTTCCATCTTTTTTTTTGAGACTAGATTGCTGATTCCTTTCTAGTTAATCAGTATGATTTAGCTGGGCTTAGCTGGAGTGGATAGCAATCAGAATCTGCTGGACAGTGCCTTCCCATGGCAGGAGCGTGGGCCCTCCCACACTGCACAGCTCTGGAACATTACAGGTCTCACATATGCCTACTGTAAAATACGGGCTTTGCCTCTTTGGCCCATCTCTCTCCTATATTGCTGCCAACACTTGAGGTCAACCTGTCCCCTCAGGGCCCTGTGCCTGGGCTGCTCCCTGTGGCATATGGGAGGAGGGAAACCAGGGGCTCTGAATGCAGTCAAGTTTCTGAAGAATGGAGACAGATGTTTACCACAGAAATTGAATTGGAGCATCCATCTAGAAAGGCAGTGGTGGGAAATAATGGTGATCATGCAACTCAGTGGGAGCAGGACAGCTACAGGAGGGCTAGTGGAGCCCCTGGTCCAGTGCTCCCCAGAGTAGCAGCCATTCCATGATGAGTGCCAAATTCTCCCTTGGGACTGGGAGCTAGGTCCTGCCCTGTAGCCCTTCTCTGGGTCCCAAGGAGCCCCCATGAGGAGGCTACAGGTGCTCAGGAAACCTCCATGGGCTGACACACCTCCAGCTGAAAAGTCCCTTCACACATACACCATGAAGTAACATGGATCAGAAAGCACTTAGGGCACTCAGCAAAGTGAAAGAACACCCCTGGCAAGACTTACCACAACACTCTGCTGGTTTGCTACCTCCTGGTCTCTTGCTGACTGGCATTTTATCATCACTGAGGTCACTCTGCATATGCACTTCTGAATCTTGCGGTTTTCACCAGATATTATCTCATAAGCATTTTTCCCATGTGTGCCAAATGCTCATAAGCCTCATTTTTTAATGGCCTTGTAACATTCCCTTTTTCACCTCCACCAAAGCCAAAGATGCTTCTATTTGAAGCATCTGCTGAAGGCCCTCCTAGTCCCCCACCCCAGTCTAGGCCAAGTCCTGCTCAAGAGGGGGAGGGGCTGCTTATAGAGGCTGGGCTCCAAGGCTGATGCTTGCCGAGGGATGACTGCTCTACCATGCTCACTGGTGACAGGACAACACTGCCTGCACCTTGGCTTTCTCTCCTACAAAGTGGAGATCAAATAGGATTAGTGGTGAAGTCTAAGAAGGTGTAGCTGCTTTGCCAGGCTGCCGGATTTGCCCTCAGCAGCCTCAGGGCATTGAGAGCTCATCAACTGAGGGCTGAGCTGCTGGATAAGCCAGGGGGTCCTGAGAGAACAGGGAGCTCCTTCAGGTCCCTTGTGGCACACCTGATATCCAACAGTGGGAGTGGGTGTGGCTGGTGGGCATAATTGGGTGCTCTAAAACTGCACTGCACTGACCCCTGATATGCCTCCAGGGTAGGAGAAGGGCTGAATTGGCCAAGGTTAGAATGGAAGGAAAAGAAAAGGCCAAAGTTTTTTGTGACTCATTCAAGGTCACCAAACAAGCCAGAACAGAGCCAGCACATGATCCTGTTTCTGTGGAGTCTCATCCTGGACTGCCTGTTTCCCAAGAGCAGAGGTGATAACTGTGTCACCTCATAGCCATGCCATTGACCCTACACTGTCGACAGCCCAGGTGACTTCTTGTTCACAGCAAGGTGCCCTTGGCCCTGCCCAAGCCACACATGGCCAACCTCCCAGCAGAAACCATCCAGGCTCTGACTGCCCAGGCCAAGTGGACCGACCTATAGTCTAAACCAACATTTGTTGACCCAGCCTTTCCAGGGATCCGGTGGTCTGCACAATGGGGCGTTGCTGGTGAGGCCACCTCCCCAGGGCCTCCCACCTTCCAGACCCAGATCTGCTGTTTCTCCCCCAAGTTGCTCTCCCTCTGGCCTTCCTATATCTCCAGCCAGTTCTGCTCCTCTCTCCTGTGCCTGGCCAGTCCCCAACCCTTGGAAGCCCAGGCTGCAGTTGAGGACTGTCTGGGTGGGCGCCGGATCAGCCTGCAGGGACCCCATAGGCCTCCCGCCTCCAAACCCGAACCCGTAGCCTTCAGACCTGGAGGCTGGTAGCTCTGCACGGACAATGGGACGCCAGCGGGGCGCGGCTGCCAGAACAGGCGGGAGGAGCCCGGCGGACCAGGAGCTCAGGGAGCCCAAAGACCCCAGGGTCAGAGGCCAAGGGCGCTTCTGGCTCGCAGGAGCACTCCCTGAGTCCCATCCCGCTCTTGCCCTAAGTCCTGAGTTGGGGGCAGGGTTCGAGTGTAGGGAAGGGCAGAGCTTGGAAATGACTAGGACTGGCCGGCGAGCGAGGCAGAGGGACGAAGGAGGGAATAGGCCGGATAGAGAATTGGGCCTGAGAGGAGAGGGGCCGCGGTCTCACCTGTGCGGGGCCCAGGCCCACTAGCCTCAGGCAGCGGTAACTCGGCGCAGGCAGCCTCCCCGGGCATGGCCTCGACGTGCGCCCGCCTGTCCCTCTGTCCCTCGGTCCGTCTGTCCGTACAGTCGCCCGGCGTAGCGTGAGCGGCCACCGCCCCTCAGCTGGCGGGGAGGGGGAGCGGAGTGTGGATGACGTCAGCGCAGCCCCGCCCGCCCAGCGGCCTGAGTGAGCGTGCGCGGGCGAGCCAGGCACTGCGGAGCGCGATGTCGCGGGTGGGGGGTGCTCCCTCCCTACCCAACCGGTTGAGGTCTTCCTCCTGTGGTGTACGAATCCGAGCAGGCGTGGGGCGCCTGCGCCCCGCCCAGCCTTTCCCGCAGCATCCCCCTCCCTTTACCAGGGAGGGATTCGAAGACATTCGGGGTCTGGACACCTCCCCGGTGGCATCACCCCTTAGCTGGGAATAGGCGGAGGCGTCTCTAGAACCAAGGTTTCAGGGACCGGGGAGGAGCCTCAGGGAGATACTGTCAGAGACAGCCCACCCTTCTCTGCCTAGGCGAAGGGCACAGGAGGCCCGGAGTGGGGAGGGAACCCCGCCCAGCTTGATGCCTGCATCCAAAAGATGAGTTGGAGCCGCAGCTTTGGAGTGATTGGTTGGTCCTTGCAGTCGTCGGTCTCCATGGCAACCGCCTCCAGTCTCTGTGGCAACCAGAGATGGAGCTTAAGAGAGCGCAGCGGGGAAGGTGGATCCAGACGAGCTCCTGGGCCAAGCTGGGTCTCTGGGTTTCCTGGCAGCGTGATGATCTGCTCCCACCCCTTCACCCCTCAGTTCTCTAGGCATGGGGAGGAAAAGAAAAGAAAAGCTCCTCCTTCCATTCCTGGCAGCTGCCCCTGCCACACCTCCAAGGATGAAGCCCGCCCCGCCCCTTGGTTTTTCTGAAATGCGCGATTGCTTCCACTCAGGCCGCTGCACCGCCTAGATTCACCACCCCACTTCCCCGCACGGTGCCAGGCACTGAGAGACCGATGAATGACACATTGTCATTTCTGAACTGGGGTAGAAAAAAATCAAGAGCAGCCATTGTGGAAAGCAGGGAGGGAGCCTCCAACTTCCTCATTCTTCTGATTCTATCACAAAGCTCAGGAAGTCAGGTCTATCCCCGACTCCTCAGAACCTGCCTCAAGGCCCAGCGTTGCACATCTACCCTGCATTCCTCTTAGTTGCTGTCAGTCCATCCATTTTTCCCGCTGGTGTGCAACTTTCTTCCGCCTTTCCTTTACATCTTTTACGTAAGGACCTTCATTTCCATCTCCTCCTCCTGTGAATGCTCTCCTGTTTTCTTAGCTGAATTCTAAGATTGCTGCTCTGACACATGCCTATCATGAAAATATCATGGATTCTTAGAAATCAAATTCCCTATAAATGCCCTGGAAAACTATAAATCCAGGGCATAAAAGAGAAAGCCAAAGTAGAATCCTTAAAGATGAAATGAAGGGGAGCGGGTGAGGGATCAGGTGAACAGCATAGCTAGTAGAGCGTCTTCCCAGTAGACGACCTAGGCCTGGCATTTCCTTACCTCAATCTACCAACAGGAGAACCAGGTAGATTTCTTCATTCCCATACAGAGTGAAGGCCTGCTGACACCACCAGCTGAGCATGGCAAGGAGGCATGTTGGAAAACATGCTGCTTTCCTCCCCAACTCTACCCAGAGGCTCCTGGCACAGGGAGAGGGGGTAGGGAACTAGTAAGGGAGATCCCACAACAAAAAGAAACTATCACTAGGTGTGCTGGACATTCCCAGTGATACAAGAGACTGAGGCCAGATGATCACAAGTTCAAGGCCAGCCTCAGAAATTTAGCCAGACCCTGCCTCTAAATAAAAACAATACAAAGGGCCAGGGATGTAGCTCAGTGGTAGAGTATCCTTAGTACTGCAAAGACCAAAAACCCAACCTAAACAAACAAAATGGAGCATATACTTGTACCAGTGAACTCAAATTTGAAATCAACTAAGAGAAAGACAACAGGAAGATCCCTAAACACTTGAGAATTCAATAACACACTTCTAAATAATTCATGGGCCAGAGGAATTATTCAAGGAAAAAAATTTTTTTTTGGCATGGAACTAAATGAAAATAAAACCACAAAATATCAAAATATGTACTATGAAGCCAAAGCAGTGCAGGGAAGAATATTTGCAGCAATTATAAGAGAAGAAATGTCTCATGCCAACAATTTGATTTCCTATATCAAGAAATCAGGAAAAGGGGGGCTAAGGATGTAGCTCAGTGGTAATGCAATTGTCTAGTGTGCACAAGGCCTTGGGTTCAATCTCCAAAACTGCCAAAAAAACCAAACCAAACAAAAAATAGAAAAAAGAAAGTAGGAAAGAAGAGCAAAATAAACCAACACAGCAGAAGGAAGGGAAATAGTAAAATAAAGACAGAAATCAATGAATATAAAACAGGAAGATGATAAAAGGAATCAATGAAATAAAAACATGGTTCTTTGAAAAAATATAAAATTGGTTAAAACTCTTGCAAGACAAACAAAAATAAAGACACAAATGACCAATATCAGGAGTGAAATGGGGCTAGTGCTATGAAACCTACAAACATTTTAAGGATACCAAGGGGAATGCTACAAACAATTTGATGTATATAAATTCAACAATTTGTAAGTAATGAACTGATTATTTGAAAATTACAAATTCCCAAAACTCAAAATAGATGAGATAGGTAGCTAATGTCCCATAACTATCAAAGAATTGAATTTGTAATTTCAAATCTCCTCAAAATAAATCAACATGCATGAGTCCCTGGGTTCAAACCCCTGCCCTGAAAAAAAAAGGGGGGGGGGTGTGATTGGGTCGGAGGAGCTAGGTTGTTTCCACTAGAAAATTATACCAAAAATTTAAATTGGAATTAAAACCAATTTAAACAATCTCTTTCAGAAAACAGAAGAGGAGGAAACAATTCCTAATTCATTTTTTTAAGGCAAACAATAGCCCAGCATAATTATTCATGCCTATAATCCCAGCTGTTCAGGAGGGTAAGGCAGGAGAATTTTAAGTTCAAAGCCAGCCTGGGCAACTTAGAGAAAACCAGTCCCAACATATACTAAAAAGGGCTGTTTAAAAAAAAAAAAAAAAAAGAGGATGTAGCTCAGGGGTACAGCACCCCTGGGTTCAATCCCAGTACCAAAAACAAACAAGGCAAGCAGTATCCTGACATGTACCCCTCAAAAACTCTAGACCAGAATCTCACAAATTTAGGAACAAAAATTCTCAATGGATTACTAGCAAATCAAATTTAGCAATGAATAAAAAGAATATACACCATGACCAAGTAGAATTTATTCCAGGTATGCAAGGCTGGTTCAACACTTGAAAATCCATCAAGTTAATTCATAACACCAATATGTTAAATGAGAAAAATTGGACATGGGAGTGTAGCTCAATGACAGAATGTTTACCTAGCATGTAGAAGGCCCTGGGATGGAGCCCAGCTAGTGGGGTGGTGGTTACATTCCAGTAGAGACTGCTGCCTCCTTCACTGAGAACTCAGCTCCTAGAGTAGGTGTCATGCAGAAGTTTGCCACTGAGCTTAAAGATTCTCTCTGGGGGAAGAGAAGCAGGTTGTATGACAGCTTCTGATCTCTTCCCAAATGCACTGACTTCACTTGTAACAGAGGATGGGGAATCACTCTCAAGAGCAGCAGAGGTTGTGGTGAAAGACCATTGAAAGGTGATTTGTGGATCCATTGAAAACAGCCTGGACTACAGGATGACAGTTCACTGGAGAAAATTGAGGAATAAGAAAACTGAGTGCCCTGGGGTTAGAGAAAATATCAAACACTGACCTGAAATTATCCCATCTAACAAGACAGCGTGGATTAGCTTGTAGAGGAACTTAGGCCTCAGAGGATTGTTGAAAGCATTAAAGCAATCAGTGGTGTGTGTCAGTGGCAATTAGTGGAGTTTAATAGCTAGGTGTGGTCAGACAAAAAGGAAGAGAGTCCTACCAGTACTGGTCATCCTAGGGTGACTGTGGGCATACATAAAGCTGCACTCCCCTGAGAAGGAGTATCAGAGACTTAAAGTATGGGGGAGTGGGGATAGAATTAAAAATAATTGGGCAGGCTGGGTAGTGCACGCCTGTAACCCCAGGAGGCTGAGGTAGGAGGATTGCATGTTCAACACCAGCCTTAGCAAAAGCTAGGTGCTAAGCAACTCAGTGAGACCCTGTTTCCAAATAAAATACAAAATAGGGCTGAGGATGTGGCTCAGTGATTGAGTGCTCCTGAGTTCAATCCCCAGTACCTCCCCAAACAAAATGAAACAAAATGGACACAACCTAATAAGTTCATTGGGGTTGCAAGATTCAGGACCAATATGCAAAAATCAATTATACTGTATACCAACTTGCAATGAGAAATCCAAAATTGAAATTAAGAAAACAATTCCATTTGCAACAGCATTATAAAATAACAAATGCATGAGGTCCTGGGTTTGATCCCCAGCAATGCAAAAAACCAAGCCAAAACAAAAAGATAAAAATCATAAAATACTTAGGAATAAATTTAAAAGTAGTTCAAAACGTGTACTCTGGAAACTTTAAAATACTGTTGAAAAATTAAAGACTAGATAAGTGGGAAAACATTCCATGTTCATGAATCAGAAGATTTAACATTGTTAAGATGGTAACAATATCCAAGATCTAAAGATTCAGAACAATCCTTATCAGAATTCCAACTAACTTCTTTGTACAAACTGACAAACTCATTCTAAAGTTCTCATGAATTGCAAGAGACCCAGAAGAGCCAACCAAAATAATCCATGGAGAAAAATTCAAAATATAACTATGAAACAGTAGTAATCAAAAGACAATATACCATTGGCAAGAGGATATATAGATCAACGGAAGAAAACTGACATTCCAGAAATAAACCTATATATCCATGGTCAACTGATTTTTGACAAGGATGCTAAGACCATTTAGCAAGGGAAAGAATAACAACACTTGGTTCTGGGACAACTAAGTAATTTCATCCAAAAAAATGAAGTTGACACTTTATATCATATATA